TAGCACACTTGGTTTTACACCTCTTGCATATTTAGGCTTATATGTTAATTTTTACCAACTTATTTCCTCTGACTGGTAGCACTATTATATTTTGGAAGTGGTAAAGCCGGAGCTCTAAACTAAATCTGTGGAGGGAACTAAAGACTAGGGTGATGACAAGGAGTGCTCTCAATCTCCAACACTTGAAGTTTATCACCAAAGATAAACAGATCATGCTTTTGATATCTTTATTGGTAAGGTACTTATTGGTAAAACCTTTTTAATTGATTGCCAATATTTGACTAAAAGGTAACTTCAACAGGGAAATGTCACAGTCTTGGTTCTATTATGTTTTCTTTTGAGTATTTCAGTTTTACTTTGCTGCATGTTTTCTAGTTTTAGTGTTTTAAGTCTTATTTTATTGTGTTTTCTGGTTATTCTCAGTTTCCAGGTTTTTATTTGTTGCCCTCTGCTGCCCTCTTGTGTTCTCCTTTTTCCCTTGCTCCTTTCCTTTTCTGCTCTGCTCACACCTGCTCCCAATCTGCTCGTTAGCCCTCTCTTTGTTTCAGTCTTCCATAAATACTCTCTCTGTGCAGTTCTTCAGTGCTGGTTCCTTGTCTAACTTCCTCCAACTCCGTCTCACTGAGTCTTCCTCCTCGTGATTGTTTTCCCCAGATTTCTCCATGTTTTCTTGTTTTTTTGACTTATTTTCATGTTTTGATTTTTGGATTCCTGCCTCAGTTCTTTGAAAACACTTAGTTAAATCTACAAGAAGCTCACCTCTGTCTCCCTGCAATTGCATTGGGTCCACAAACCACAACCAGATCCTGACAGGAAACTCATTTTCTATTAGTCTATTATCTTTTAAGGTATTAAGGTATTTTACTATCAGTTTGTAAAGAAAAAACAAAAACAGAGAAGTGTCAGGGCTGAATAAAACACTGTGAATCTCAATCTGCCAGGGATATGAATAAATATTGTCTTAATGGTTGAACAGAGGAACCTTGTGGCATCTGGGAAAACTGAACCCAAGAACCAGACTGTTAAAGATCCATTGTCCTCTTCCTGAAACCTTAGCTGATTCTTGGCTGATGACATACAAAAAAAAAAACAATGTAGCTTTATTTTGAAAGGGTCATAGAAATTGGAGTTAAAGAATGTCATTTGGGAAGTGTTGAATAGCCACGTGATCGATGGTAAAACCATTTAAAACTCATATTAGAAGGTTCAGAAGTATATCAGAGGTTCTGACCTGTTTTTATAATACTATATATCAGGGGTTGGCAGTTCCATTTCCTGGGTGCCGGTATCCTGCAACTTTTAGATTAATCCTTGATCCAACACACCTGAATCAAATGGCTGAGTTACCTCCTGAGTATGCAGTTCCTCCAGAGTCCTCTCAATCATCTCATTATTTGATTCAGGTCTGTTGAACCAAAGGCACATCTAATAGTTGCAGGATAGCAGCCCTTAGGAACAAGAACTGCCCACCCCTGCTCTAAGTAGAAGAAAAATTACGTGTTGACAGCAGACAGAACTACAGGTGGACACACTACCTAAACTACTAATTTTATTTTGTTGCGCAAATGTCGTTAACCCTGAATCAATCCATTAAAGATTGAAGAACACATTAAAAGCACAGCTGCTGTTCTAGACGTCATTTAGATGTTGGTTTTAAGGATAAATCTTGTTGGTGCGTCATAGTCATGATTTAGTCCAGAAATAGTTGTTGAAAGTTGGGCTGTGTTAGTTGGGTCCGATTTTGTTCCACTTTTGTCCAAAAAGAGATGTTGAAAAAACTCTCCAAACCCAGTTTTCAACATCTTTTCCATGATATGAAAATTACATCTTTTTACCTTTCATTTTTCAACCAAATGTAAACGGTTTTTGGACATAAATCATGTCGTCTTTTCAATCAATTTTTCAGCAGTGAGACTGCTCTCATTGTTCTGGATAGATTCAACCCTAAAGCATTAAGGACTATATCCAGATGTCAAACGGCGCTTTAAGGGTCTTTAAACACTTTAAGCTCTAGAGTATTGAGGGGCTTTAGACTGTAGTGGATGTAATGTGAAGCAGATTCTGGAGGTCCCAAAAGCAGCCTTGTTGTCTCAGGTTTGGCAGGAATCACTGAGGTCTCTGCAGCATCTGGTCAGAGAACCACAGGTGGACCTCAAAGAGAAAATGTTTCTATAAACCTGCAAAGAACCAGCAGAGCAGTTCCTTGTCACAGTCTCACCACCTATTCTGGTGTATTGTCTTGGTTTTATACATAAAATGGTGAAATATCTTTTCATCTCTGGCATTTAAGGTTCTGTGATCTGTTCTTTTTAATCTAAGCCTTTAATATTTTCTGGTGAATTAACCCTCGTGGTCTAAGCAAGTTAACTCCGTTTTCCTGTGGGCAAACAATCAACTTTACTTTGTGATAAATGTGACATTCAGGCAGAATTGAAGAGCGATAACGTGAAGTGGAGGATTTGGCAAAACGCAGCCACAGTTCTGATCCTGATAAAGCCCTTTGTTTGACTGAAGTGTGAATATTTGCAGTGGAGAGGAAAAAGGCTCAACACACACAGAACACACACACACTTATTCCTGAGATTTGAGTCCGGTTGAGTTTGATATTGAGCTGCTATCTGTATATTTGCTGTAGATATCAAAGGCAGTTTGCTCACGCTCGCTCCTATATAAAACCCTGGAGTTGATGTGTTGGCTCGCCCCCTGGGGTAGAACCGGGCTGTTGGTCTGGCTGCCTGCCACTGTTGCCATGATCAGCATCCGCCTGCTGTTGTCATGGTAATGACCGTTTATTTGCAGGGGGCCATCTCGTCTCCAATATTTCCGGGACACTGATAGCATTAGGAAGTGAAGGTGAGAGCAGGCAGAGGGGAGCTGAGGTAGATGAGTGATCCCTCAGTGGGTCAGCCCCACTCAGACCATTATTACCACTGACTATAACCCAAAACCACCAGCTCACCTATTTAATCAGTCAGATATAAAGATAGTTCTTTTCATGTCATTTTTTGATGTATTTTCTCTGAACTAAATAAAGTATATATATATATATATATGTTTCCTTTAAGTATTAATAGCTCTGCAGCTTATTCATATTTCTCACATTTGAAAAACAACCACTGAGGATTTTACAGGGATTTCATGTGACAGACAAACGGAAAATTAAACAATGACTGTTTAGGGGTAAAAAGCTACTTATGGTTGAAAAATTATCTTACATTCCAGTCATGTTGCATTTTATGAATTGTTTGTGAAAATGAATACATATAGAAGAGATGAACCAGCCATTGTTTTTCAGTTGTTTTGTTTTGTTTGGTTGGAAGGTGTGTTTGTTTTCTAGTCCTGTGTCTACATTGAGTGGAAAGGCCTGTTCTTGGTTTGCAGCCTGTAAAATATAATGGCGGAGGGTGTATATTATGACACTTAGGCCTTCAGTGGGCACCCCTCAACTTTAATCTACTTCATCTCACACCTTCTCATTCAAAGAGTTTTCTTTATTTTATTAATGAAAATTGTAGGTTCACATTGAATTCATTAAAACTATTAAATAACGCATGTGGAATTACATTCTCCACAACTGAAAATACGTCTTATATTCTAGGTTCTTCAAAATAGCCACCTTTTGCTTTGATTACTGCTTTGGACACTCTTGGTATTCTCTTTAGTTTCAAGAGGTAGTCACCTGAAATGGGTTTCATTTCCCAGGTGTCCCCTGTCATTGTTTAATAAGTCAGATTGATTGCCTTATGAATGTGGTTGGGACCATTAGTTGTGTTGTGCAGAAGTCAGGTGGATACACAGCTGATAGTCCTACTGAATAGACTGTTAGAATTTGCAAGAAAAAAGCAGCTACGAAAAGAAAAACGAGCGGCCATCATTACTTTAAGAAATGAAGCTCAGTCAGTCCAAAAAAAAAATTGGCAAAACTTTGAAAGTCTCCCCAAGTGCAACCATCAAGCGAAAGAAACTGGATCCCATGAGGACCGCCCTAGGAAAGGAAGACCAAGAGTCACCTCTGCTGCAGAGGATAAATTAATCTGAGTTACCAGCCTCAGATTTCGCAGGTTAACAGCAGCTCAGATTAGAAAGCAGGTCAATGCCACACAGAGTTCTAGCAGCAGACACATCTCTAAAACAACTGTTAAGAGGAGACTGTGTGAATCAGGTTTAAATGGTAAAATAGCTGCTAGGAAACCACTGCTGAGGACAGGCAAACAAGCAGAAGAGACTTGCTTGAGCTAAAGAACCCAAGGAATGGACATTAGACCAGTGGAAATCTGTGCTTTGGTCTGATGAGTCCAAATTTGAGGTATAACCATCGTATCTTTAAGAGACGCAGAAAAGGTGAAAGGATGGACTTTACATTCCTGGTTCCCACCATGAAACATGGAGGAGGAGGTGTGATGGTGTGGGGGCGCTTTGCTGGTAACACTGCTGGGGATTTATTCAAAATTAAAGCATACTGAACCAGCATGGCTACCACAGCATCTTGCATGAAATTCCATCCGGTTTGTGTTGAGTTGGACCATCATTTATTTTTCAATAAAATCAACGGTTACTTACCTTGTCTTTTTCTATTTGTTTGAGGTAATCAAAGAAAATATCTTTCTGAGTTTGGTTTCTTGAATAGTATAATAATTAATGTAATGCATTATTCCAGATGATTCCCCCTCATGTTACCACTCTGAGCATTGAGCCACATCCCTGTTATCAGAAATGGTGACTTTGTATTTAAAGTCAGAGATTATGTGATTATTTTAAACATTTCTAACCATGTGACATAAATTAAAAATGGATCTTTAGCTTCAGAATCAAACGTGATTTTTTAAATTTTCTGATCAGCTTTTGTTTTTATTTCTGCTCTGGATTGTAAGGCAGGTAGAGATGGAAGGTGTCCACCTGTGCTGTGGGAGGAGGCTGCCTGAATGACCGCCTCCTCCTTTCTCTCCTCTCTCTCCTCCACCTTCCAGCTCCTCTTGCCTCCTGTTTGCCGAAGATGAGCCGCGCTCAGTGGCTCTCGCCTCGGATTGAATTTCTGCTCGGTGGTGCTCGGATGTCTCCCCCGGAGGTCAGGTGAAAAGCGCTCCTTCTCTCAGCCAGCCTCCGGTCCTGAGAGCCGCACTTTGCCTGGAAGTTTCCCGCAGCGGAGCAGCTCCACGCCGCGGCGCACCGGTCCGGAGCGCACCGCCGGCCGGAGGACATGGAGCGGCTGTAGGAGCGGCTGGAGGAGGAGATAAACCTGAAGGAGGGAAGACTTTCACTCCAAACAGGCACCAGGAGGACTTTCAAGGTAACCATCGCGCTTTTTATGATGTTTTCCACAATAGATAAAAAATGGAACCTTTTATTTGACTTTTGGGTTTCTGTAAATAAACAGTGAGATTCAGAAAGTGGTCCAAACCTGCATCTCTATGTTCTGTGCAGCTAAACAGTAGCCTAATTGATTCTGTAAAAGTGAAAAAAGATGAACATTGAAATGAAACCAAGAGTTTGAGCTGCAGAGTAAAGCGGAATAAGCGTTTTCCTGCCCTCCATCTGTGGATGGGAGTCAAGCAGGTGGAACTGATTATTAATTGTTGCACTTTGTCCTGCAGCTGATTCTGGACCAAAACCAAATAAATATACCACTCCGCCCTTTAACAAAGTTTCCTCTTAGATTTAGACAAAACATGACAAAGTTTAGCTCCTATGCTTGGAGTTAATGATTAGACATAATATAAAAATGTGTAGTTGTGACATTTGGGATCCAAACTGTTATTATTTATTTATAATAAGTATTTGAACACCCTCCTATTTTGCAGGTTCTCCCTCTAGAAATCATGGAATGGTCTGAAATTATCATTGTATGTGCAAAAATATGATTTTTTTTAAACAAATTATTTGTATGATCCAGCTGCAAATAAGTATTTTATCGCCTCTTTATCAGCCATAATTCTGACCCTCCATGACTTTGTTAGACTGCCTTCAAAATGTCCACCTCCACTCCATTTATTATCCTAAATTAGATGCACCTGTTTGAGTTCGTTAGCTGCATAAACACACCTGTCCACCCCATACAATTAGTAAAAATCCAACTACTAATATGGCCAAGACCAAAGAGCTGTCTAAAGAGCAACAAGAAACAACTAAACATGTTATGGTAGGCTGTAAGAAGTATGAAATAAAAACGAGGGAATTGGTTCAAAATCTTAATAAAGAAAGAACTCACTTTAATTTAACAGAAATCCTTAGAAATTTCTCAAAAGATAAGTGTTATGTAATTGTTTTTCATTATCTTAGATTAATCTGTGTAATTGAGAGGATTTTAATCTTATTTTGGTTTTATATATTTTTTTTGTTTTGTTTTTTTGTTCAGTATATGTAGGTAGTAGCCATTCAGATCCACACTCTATACCATTTGGTGGCGGTAATGCACCATTTCGTTGCATGCCAACCACCAATAAAATCCCAAAGACAATAGAGACAAAATTGTACACCTCCACAAATTTAAATAAGCAACTTGGTGAAAAAAGGTCCACTGTTGGAGCAATCATTAGAAAATGGGAGAAGCTAAACATGACAGCCAATCTCCCTAGAACTGGGGCGCCATGCAAGATCTCACCCGGTGGGTTCTCAATGATCCTACGAAAGGTGAGAAATTATCCCAGAACGACACTGGAGGAGCTGGTCAATGACCTGAAAAGAGCTGGGGCCACGGTTTCCATGGTCACCGTTGGTAATACACCAAGGCGTCATGGTTTGACATCAAGCATGGCACGGAAGGTTCCCCTGCTTAAACCTGCACATGTCGAGGCCCGTCTTAAGTTTGCCTAGGAGCATTTGGATGATCCAGAGGAGTCATGGGAGGAAGTCATGTGGTCAGATGAGAACTTTTTGGTTATAATTCCACTAACTGTGTTCAGAGGAAGAAGAATGATGAGTACCATCTCAAGATCACCATCCCTACTGTGAAGCATGGGGGTGTTTTTCTGCACATGGATAGCGTGACTGCACAGTATTAAGGAGAGGCTGACCGGGGCCATGTATTGCTAGATTTTAGGGAACAACCTTCTTCCCTCAGTTAGAGCACTGAAGATGGGCGGAGGCTGGGTTTTCGACATAACAATGTCCCGAAGCACACAGCCAGGATAACCAAGGAGTTGCTCTGGAAGAAGCATATAAAGGTTCTGGCGTGGCCTAGCCAGTCAGCAGACCTAAACCCAATAGAAAAACTTTGAACGGAGCTCACACCGTGTTTCTCAGAGAGCCCAGAAGCATGAGTGATCTGTGTGGAGGAATGGGCCAAAATCCCTCCTGTAGTGTGTGCAAACCTGGTGAAAAACTACAGGAGACGTTTGACCTCTGTAATTGCAAACAAATGCTACTGTACCAAATATTAACATGAATTTTCTCAGGTTTTCAAATACTTATTTGCAGCTGGATCATACAAATAAATAGTAAAAAAAGTTATACGTTGTGATTTCTGGAGTTTCCCCCCCCCCTCTGTATGTCTGTCTATCTTGCTGTTTCTTCCTTTTGTATTTGCTGTTTGAAAGAAAGTTTCTAATAGCCATAGTTCAGTTGGTGTTCTTATGTGAACATTTAAAAATATTTTATTGATTTTGACTTAAATATAAATAAAATAAAACATGAAATTAAATGTCTGAAAGAGACATTACTATTTCCTTACAATGTAAAAATAGATGTTGCTGATGATTTATAACTGTTTGCTCCCAAATAAACTGTTAGCAATTAATTGAATTGCATTTCCAATTTGTTTAAAAATTTTTTCAGTCCATTCCATGATCAATCACATGATAATTCCTGTGGTCTGAGCTTCATGTTTTTACTGTACACAGAGAGGTTTTGTACCAGACCTCATTTCTTTCCCTGATTGTCTCCTGTGTTTCCCACAAGGCTTAGTTTTAGCCCACATTCTCTTTGCTATTTCCCTTGCACCTGTAAACATATAAAAAAAACCTTATTCCACTGTCCTGCTGATGTCATGCAGCTCTAATAGAAAGATGTGTACACTCTTTGTTGCTCAGATGTCTTATTATCATAATGTATCCTTAATGCCATTGAGTGTTTTCAGCGTTTAACCCTCTGAGATATTTGGCCAAAGTCCAGCCTTCCTTTACAACAGTTTCTGTCAATTCCTCATCTTTCTAATTGCTTTGATTAACTTAAGAGTAAAGTGGTCCAGTGCTCAAGTATGAACCATCCTACCTCTAGTTCTTTCCAATCTGTTCAGCTGCTCATCATCATTTCTAAAACAAACAATAAGCTAAGAACAGAAGAAGCTCTTGTGTCCAGAGCTCCTAATATGTTAGACAGTATGCAGCTGTCATTACTCTGCATTTAAATCACTAAAAAAAAAACTAAAAAAAAAAACTTCAGATGTTAATTATATTTAATTCAAGTTTATTACCTCCACCGAGGAGAAAATAATTTGATAGTGTTGGTTAGTCTAGTAGAATTCATGGACATATTGCTCTGAAATGTTTAGCAAAAGTGTGTCTTAACCCGACTTACAGTATAACCCATTAAATTTACTGGAGACCCGGATAACAATCTAGATTGAAGAATTTTTTTAATAATTCCATGAAGGTGTAGAGGAAAATCTTTTATTATGGGTGGATCATCTAACATCAGACACCTGATTGTTCCTAACAAAGCACTTCACTCTCGATCTGCATGTTTCTGTGGTTTCTAGAATTTTTAATAGTAATAAGGGAGACAGATCTTTTACTTACCATGGTCCTTAACTACCAATTTTAGCTTTGAGGCAGACACTCTGCCTACCTCAAAGGCTAGACTTAAAACTTTTTCTTTATAGTAAAAATTGCTCAAGCTATCCTGGGCAATTTGTACAGTTATGCTGTTATAGGCTTAGACTGCTGGAGGACCACTTTTCATCACTCCGCTTCACTCCTATGTCTTCACTCCTGTCTCTATTCTTCAATTCTGCATTATTTCTTAGATCAACCCATACGTGGATGTTTTGCTTTCATCCCTGCTGTAGGAAGATTGACTTCTACCTTGCTGATACCTCTGCTGAACTGTTTCTTTTCTAGGCACATCCACCCATGGAACTACACTGCTCAAAAAGATAAAGGGAACACCCATATAACACATACTAGATCTGAATGAAAGAAATATTGTCATTGAATACTTTGTTTTCTTTTTAAGGTTTCTTTTCTCATCTTTAAATCATTCTTGTGTGCTGGACTTTGGTCCTGTGTGGTAGTTTACAGAGCCTCCTAAACAAAACTGGTTTCGATGTAGAATTAGCTGGGCTTAAAGGTGGCACCACTAGAGCTGTTGTGATTCAGCAACATCCAACAAACATTTAGGTCAACCAAGTAAGGTCAGAGAACAAAAATGGTCAGAAGACAAAAAAATCAGAGGCATTGTTGGTATTGGATGGAGTTTGATGCTTTGTTTGTTTGCATGAACCTCAGTGAGGTGTACAGCGTTTGGACCCAACACACCTACACCTTCCTATACACCCCGCATGCCAGGATGCTGTGTAAACATCCACCATGATGCCTAATGAATTATTTATATGCCCACCATCGCCTGCATTTGTACAGAAAAGATTCAAATTTTTCCAATCATGTTCCAGATGTTTCACTGTTTCACTTTTTTTTGTTATTTAAAAACAGATTCTCTATTTATAAAATAGGTATTCCATAATTATGGAATTAAATCACAGGAAATATTTATGTGCACACAGTGCAAATCTTTGTGGTTCAGCTCATTTAAGATAGAATTTTGTATGTATGTATGTATGCATATGTAAATATATATGTATGTATGTATATATAAATATATATGTATGTATATATAAATATATATGTATGTATGTGTATATATAGGTATGTATATATATGTAAATATATATGTATGTATATTAGGGGTGGAACGGTTCACAAAATCCACGGTTCGGTTCGGTTCACGGTATATGTTGATTGTTACCCTGAAATCCCATAAAAATGTATGAAATTAATGAAAAAATTTTTGTCTCCTGTCACAAAAAATGTTGTCACAAAAAATTTTAATGAATTGTAATTATTTTTAATGATCCGCGGAAACCCTGGATAATTTCCGCATGTTTTGCTGCTTCGAATTTAATCATATATGTATATATATATATATATATATATATATATATATATATATATATATATATATATATATTAGGGCTGCAACTAACGATTATTTTAAAAATCGATGAATCGGCCGATTATTTTTTCGATTAATCGATGAATCGGACAAAAAAATAATAACCTCTTTATTCCAAAATAA